CGTGAAAGCTCATGAAATCAGGAGATAATGCATTTTTAATAAATTTAGGAGAGAAAATCCTTAGAAATTAAAATCATCGAAAACAAAAAAAAAATGGTATTTTACTTAAAACAAATAGAATAATACCTATAAAAGAATGGCGGATGACAACCATCCGAAGATCTTTCTCTCTCTTCTTCTCTCCCTTTCCTTCTCCTCTTTCGATTTCTTCCCGAGCAAGACAATGAGAGTGGGGGAAACCCTAAAAGTGAGGGAGGTGATGGCAGAAATACTTATATATACATTGTTAGTGGCTTAGCACCGCTGCACTTAGACCAAGTGTCACAATGTTGCACGTCGAATCTTGAATTACTATAGAAAAGAAGCGTCGTATTGGTAGTTTTTAGCATTGTTGTGCTCTTAACTCTAATGTTGCAGAGCTCATAAGCACAACATTGAAGCGCTCCAGTTCAAATAGAAATTTTAAAATTTATATTTTAAAATATTTTCCATTTTTGGGTAGTTATAGAAGCTCTGTGAAGAATACTTTGGTGTCAAAGGCCATCGACTACTCCGCTGCATTGAGAAGGTGAAAGGGATTTCAACTACTCAATCACACCAAGGAGGTGAAGAGATTCCCACTACTCCGTCCCACCAAGGAGGTGAAAGGGATTTTGACCACTCCACCACACCAAAAATGTGAAAAGAATTTCGACAACTCCACTGCATTAGCAAGGTGAAAGTGATTTAAGTCCGTACGGGCTCCTCCGCATGGGGCTGAAGGGGAGTCACTATTGATTAGTGCAATACCTGAAGAGGACTTCAGGCAGTGGACATAAGTCAATTGAGCAAACCACAATAAAAATTCGATTTGCATTCTTTTTCTTTTCGCATTTATATTTTTCTTGTATATTTATTTTTTTGCAATATGATTTAAGCTTGATTATCATTGTGATACAAAACTCATTGTGGTTGATTGAATTCAATCTTTATTTAAAAGAAACAAAAAAAAAAAAATCAAAGAACAAAAAAAATTTGTTACTTTTTATTTTTTCAAAATCAAAAACAAAAAATTAATATTTATTTTGTTATTTGCTTCCATATTAAATTCTAGTTTTTTTTTTTTTTAATTGAAATATCAATTCACCTCTCTCTTGATGATAAATTTCAACTTCAATCATTAAACTTTCATAACAAAAGGAACTGAAGATTAATCTTTAAGGAAAACACCCTAAAAAAAGACAATAGATTTTAACTTTTTTTTTTTTTTTTTTCTTTTTCTTTTTTTTGCATATGACCATGAGGTTTTGGCCCAATCACCAAATTTTATTTATTTTTTTTTTTAAAAAAAATTCTTTGCTACTAGTGAATTAAAATTTAACGTGTTAAAACTAATTGATTTCAATTCACATCAATTAAAACACCAATTCACCTTCGTCTTGACGAACTTTTATTTGGTCCAGTGAACGTACGTAGAGCTACGTTCGGCCGGCACTAAGATCGCAGGCACAAAACGAGAAAAACCGAGCAATACCAACAATAACGAGAAATATCATTATGTGAAGACAAAATACCGAGTAATAACGAGCAATACCGAGTAATCCCAAAAACTACTCGGTATTGCTCGGTATTGCTCGGTATTACTCGGTATTGATCTTCACAGAGTGGTATTCCTCGTTATTACCAAATAATACCTTGCAATACCGACCAAATACCGAGCAAAAACCGAGTAACAATTCTCTGACCGAATGTAAAATTTCCATCTTGACACACCATTTCAACTTTTAATTAATTTCAACCAACTATTAAACTTTTAGAAGACAAGAAAGTAAAAAAATAATCTTCAAGGAAAACATCATAAAATAAAGGACAATAGATTTTAACTTGTTCAAAAATATTTTAAGTATATCTACAACCACCTAAACAGATCTTCATTCAACTAAATCAGAGATAAACATATGATAAAAAAAAAAATAATGTCTGATATTTCACTTTTATCAATGTTAATATTTTTCATTTTTCTTATTCCTTCTCCAAAACCTAACTATAATTTTTCAGTCATCCATGCTCACCCGAGATAATGTGCATTCTATCATACCACCTCACCAATCACCACCCCTTAGGATTCACAGTCACTAATTTCTTTCATGAAAACCCTTTTTTTTTTTACACAAAATTTATTCAATAAAGAAAGAGGGTTACAACAACAAATGACCAATAGCCCGAGGAACAAAACAGTAAGAACCTAAAAAACCAGACAAATAAGGAGAAGCAGCGAATAGGGACTCAGGAATAGAGTCCCCCAACACCAACCTCACAGCCAAACACAAACCATCAATAGGTGTCAGTTAAATGAATACAGTCCACCAGATTGCCAACCAGCCCAGCCAACAAGGGGAAGCAGGGGCCTCCTCATCGTCCAGCCACATTCTAAAACCACCAACACACCCTATTTCTTCTTGCCTTTGCTTTTATGTTTCTTTCCACCCGCATTAGAAAAATCACGATCGATAGAGCGTTCAATTATTTCCTCAAAATCCTAAAAATCTGTTTACTCTCCGCCAGAAGGAGAGAAAGGGAAACCTCTAAAATCAACCAATCAGTTTGAAGCAAAACAGAGTTTTTCCCAGACTTAACCATATGAGCTTTCATTTCAACATTAGACATAACTGAAATAGGGATATTAATAAAATTAATATTTCCCTCAAAACCATCATTAGGAGTTAATTGATCATGAACCTGCATATTCAACGTCAGGTTAACAAAAGAAGAAACAACATTTAGACTCTCGATAACCAGCGGAGACAATCCCACACAACCAATCAATTTCCGACTAGGAGAAACAGATGAACCAGAAGGCTCAACGCCCACACAATGCACATCATCCACAGCCAAACCGCACTGGGCAGACACATTATCCGCAAAAGATAAAGCAGGTTTAGAATTTAAACTACAATTCAAAATAGCAAGCTCACTTGAACATAACCGCGAAACCTGGGCAACAGGAGCCACCCCCTCTAAAATCACAATAGAGTCCAGCTAGACTAAATTAGAATTAGAATTAACAGGATTAACCCCCTCAAAAACCACAGCATTCTCATCGCTATTCACAGCATAGGCTAATTCTAAAGGGACAGCAACCACAGCATTCACAGAATCCCCCACTGCAGAAATAGGCAAACAAAGGGAAGGAGGTGAAGGAGGAATTAAAGCAGAATTATCGGAAGCCTTGTTAGGTACCCTGTTAGAATTAGGCAGATCAACCACAGGAGGACGACAATTCCCAACTGCATGTCCAATACTTTTACAACAAGCACAAAAAGAAGGTAAATCATCCATAACCACTTGCTGGACATAGCTGAACTTCTCAGAGCCTAACCACACCTTCGGGGTAAGATTTGGTGATATCCAGCTCCACTAAAACACACGCTAAGGACGGCCAAGATCCAATAAATTTAGCAGAATCTATTTTCAAAGGTTTGCCAAAGAGAGAGGCCAAATTGTGAAGGATGCGGGGGGAAAGAGGCGAGGGTGCGGTTACGGAAAGAATACCCAAATTGGGATCACCGACAATTCAACACCGACATCAACAAGGGGCAACCACTTAATAAGCCTCATATATTAATTATAAATCAAATACGATCTATGATAGAAGACCCTACAGTAATCAATGTCATTTACCAGCTTGATAAGAATATGTGACGAATCCAACAAGGTGACCGAAACCTCCCCATTCAGCTTGAGGTTGAAAAAAAATCTACAAATGGTATCAATAGAGGGTCATTTAAAAGGAAAAAACCAACCAACGAGAACTAAAAAGGCACAGCTAAAGACTCTATTTCTTGGTCCAAGATCCAAAGAGAAGATAAGCCACGAAAGGAGGATGCCCAAAGCTCAGGAAAATCAATGATCGAAGAGGAGCCCGCAAGAACATCCAAAAATGAACACGAAAAAGAAAAACCGCCTAAAAAATCAGGGTCGCAAAACTTTGGTGCCATTCTGACACACGCCATAAGGGGGAAAAAAGAACCAACAAACTAAAAACAAAACAAAAAAAAAGGAAACTTCACTGAAAAATGCAGAGATGACCAGCACCACAGAGGTGAGCAACCTAACAACGCAAAACTGCACCAAAGGAAGCTAGAGCAAAGCCCTAGCGGAGCATGCGAAACGACAGAGAATTGGGTTAGATGAAATGATTGAACAATGTCTCCGTTTTTTTTTTCCTTTTTTTTTTATTTTTGCGTATGACCGTTAGGTTTTTGTTCCAATCATCAAATTTAAATTAAAAAAAAATTATTTGCTACTATTGAATTAAAATTTAACGTATACATACATGCCTATATAAGCTTCTTGACCAGAAAAAGATGAGTATAATCATCTTGATCTTCCCAGTTCGTAATCCCATCACCTGTTATATGTACATTTATCTCCCATCTTTATGACAGTCAACTCAAAGCACCACATCCTTGATCCATAAAACCAGTCAAAATTTACGGCTATATGATGTAAGCAGTGACATGAAAGGCTACAGATAATTGAAAAGGATGTCTGCAATTAAAAATTCTGAACAGCCTCGCCTCCTTTTTCACAATAATGGACATATTAATCAAGACTTTGGAAGTAGTTAAAAATAATAATCACACTAAAGTTTCATTTGAGATGAATTTTTTAAGAAGCAGCAGCTTTTTAATTAAAATTTTTAATTTTTTTTACTAAAAAATTACTTTAAAAACAGCAAAAAAAAATTGCCCAAACAAAGCCTAAGTTGATAATGCCACCACAATTTTGATTTCTATGTTAAAATTGCAATAGAAGTTCCATATGACTACAAGACAACAAGCAAAAATTTTCATTAGCAAATCGTTTGCCCCTTCACTCAATTAGAAAAGTTGGACTTCAGAACCCACATTTGAATGAAAGTTCATAACTTTCTGATGAATTTTCAGTGTTAGTACAGTCAATGAGATTTCATATTTCTACAAATAAGAACAGAGAACAACACCTGTATCAATGATATATTACTTGTCAACAATATATAAATGCAAAACTTGATATGAAACAGCTTGGTTCAAACAGAATAAATGAAAGGGAAGCTAAAATTAAAGCCTAAAAGTTCATTCATTGAAAAAAAAAGGGGAGCCAGAGAAAATTACAAGAAACAACATGATGCGACCTTGATATACATGTGCATATATACCACAAATTTTATCTAACAGTAGAACATTACTCTCTTCACATTCTCTTTAAGAGCTGGCAATGGCCTAACTGCTAACTCGCCTACTTCACACTTATTCCTGGCTGTGCCACATGACCCATTCTCCTGTGTGTTTGGTTCAACATAGAAACGAGCTCGAAAGGCGGCTAAGTGTGCATAGTATACTGGAGGCACTGATAGATGCATTTGTAATGAGAAACTTTAGCAACAAAGCAAAATTTTTACTCCTACCAAATGCAAATTATCATGAAAAGAACATTCTTGATGGGGAGAAGTTTCAATGTTTAAACTTGGTAAAATCATTATAGTTTGATGGAGATGTCATTTTATGAAAAAGGTAATTAGCTAACAACCCCTATGTTCTTCTAATTTTGGATAATTGACTTCTTGTTCAAACAAGAGATGGGAGGCATCAACTGAATCAAGATGAAGGCATGATTTGGGGCGGCTTTTTTACTGCTTCTTAAAACAGTTTTTAAGCACAAAAGTTAAAATTTTTGTACTCGAAAACTGATTTAAGAAGCAGCAAAAAGTCTTCCCAAATGAAGCCGAAGTTTATAAAATTCATGCATTTGTATATTTTATAGAACCTAATATGATATCTATTATGAGTTCAAGATAAGAGCCTTACCAACTGAGACCGATCGCGTGCACCTCGCATAACTGCAAGTTCAAGTTTGACATGGTTACAAATCATCAAAACCAGATTTGTTTAGTGTTATATGTTTAGTCAGGCTATGTTTGGATGCTGAGAATTTGAGTGGAAGGATATGAAAGAAAAAAGGTTAAAATGTTTCAATCAATGGCTATGGATTCATAATCCAGCCACAAGTCGGTTAAATTTCATTTCATTTCCTTCCAATCCAAACAAAGCCTTCTTGTTCCTGTTAGGACCAAAACATAGTTTTTTTTTTCCCTGTTTACATACGTGTAGCAAAGATTGTTGGTGAGGGACTGCAGCCCATCAGCTGTAAAATTGTTCTCATCCCATAGAACATGGTAGTGAGCAGGTCTGCTGGTTCCCTGTTTCAAAGCAGATCAAATCAAGCTTAAAAATATTGACAATACTTCTCTTTAGTAACCATGGAATAAAGTTGAAAGGAACAAGGGAATTAGGGAAATAATGCTATTTTATTAACTATATAAAGCTAACTAAATGGAAAAACGAGGATAGTTAGATAATCTAGAATATGGCGTGACAAAGAAACCTTAATATCTATGAATTTTAAAAGGACCACTAGTGAAAGAAAAACTAAAAATTACACAATACAAAAAATCTTATTGCACTTTTAAGATTCCTTGAACAAGATAGCTTTTTTATCTTTTTAAAAGTGTAAGGTAAAAAATTTTGTGATGGTATGCAGGGTAGCAGTATACTTTTATTCTGATCACTTAATATAGCCTCATTATAGGCTTCGTTTGGGATGACTTTCTTACTATTTCTTAAAGCAGCTTTCTAGTACAAAAATTAATTTTTTTGTACTAGAAAACTGCTTTAAGAAACAATAAGAAAGCCGTCCCAAACGAACCCTTAGTGGATTCCTTGAACGTGATAGAGTTTTATCTTTTTGAAAGTGTAAGGAAAAAGATTTTGTTATAACATGCAGGGTAACAATATACCTTTATTCTGATCACTTAATATATAGTCCATTTACAAGCCTCAACTAGCATTAAAAGCTAAAATACTTATACTTTCCATACAAGAAAATAAGAGATGCTATGCCCTCCCTGACTTTATGTACTTACTATGGCTCAGATTGAACTTTCATAAAAGCTCACCTGAATACCAGCATGGCTGCATAAGTAGAAATCAAACTCTGTTGGATGGCAAATTGAAGAGTCAACTACTGTGCCTGCATAACAAGATAAAAATTTTCCAAATGAAATTGAATGTGACTTGAACATAGTAAAAAATAAGCCTATCAATAGTATAGTATACCAGGTAAGATGTTTCCATTCTTGTCTGTAGCTGACCGATCTTTGTGGTTGCTGGCAAACAGTCTTGTATGATGCCTTTTTTGGACTACAACAAAAGTGACTGGTGGCTGGTAGTTTGGTTCAAGAGAAGCACAGGCCTATGCAGAAGAAAGTAGGATATTTAGCATTCTCAAAGTTGTTAATTTACTCCATATTACATGTAATTTTATAATTTAGATTGCAAGGAATGTGAAATATATTCATAGGAAGGATAACTAACTTTTCGGATTGCATCCAATTCATAGAGAAGAACTTGGTAAAATTGTCCTTCACTCACGCCATCCCTGGCCAAACAGATCATCACTGTTGGTTATACATCTAAATACTAAAATAAAAGATTTTCATGAAACGTAAAAACATCAGAATTTGACAATCAAGAACCTTATTTCATTGTTATTTTACATATTCCTTTTATTTAAGATCCATTGGGCGCAAAAGTCACCCCCAATTCCTCCCTGGTTCGTTTATCAATAGTTAGAGGTCACGGTCTGTATAATATATATTGCTCCCATAGCCAATCCATAAGATTTTTTTTTTAATTTTAAGATATGATGAAAACTTGCAGTGACAATATGCATTTGTTTCCATGAAACTACAAAAATGCAGGCTTATTTTCAAAAGAAAAAAACAAAAGTCACCACCACTTCAATTCATAAATATTGAATTTTAATTCCACAACAAAAAATCCACTATAAGAAAGGAGTTAGGTCAAGCATTCATGCTTAAATTACTTAAGCATCTGAATGTGTCAAAAATTACTAACCTGTAGAATATGATCCTCAAAGGCTTTTGTCCAGTAGCCTTTCTAAAGGATATTAACAGTTCCCTACAATATATGCAATATAATCAATTGAGGTAGAACAAAAAGGTCTCATTACATGCCAATTGGACAATATGTTATCACAAATGTAACTGCCTAAAGAAAAGCAATATTTTTTTCTTTCTATGCTTCTGTATGCAAGATTCTGAGTATTCTTTCATATATTTGAACATTTCAGCCTCATATTTGGAGAAATTATTATGTGTGGAGGCTAGACCCAGAACGTCATATGAAGACCAACCAGAATGCACCACATCAGTGATACTCAGCAGTGGTACCAAGCGGTACCGAGCAGTACCAAGCCGCGTTATCGAGCATTCTGGTTGATCTCCGACAGCGTTCGGGGTCCGCACAGAATAATTAATCCCATATTTGAAGCGAGGTTTCTTATTATCCAAATTCTCATTGTTGAGGCCAGGAATAAATATTTAAATCTCGATATATTCCAAGGTGATGTAACTTATTATGGTCTATGGAATGCATGGCAATATGTTATAACACTCAAACTCCAGTAAAAGTTACAAGTACCGAATCATCCCCCCACTAACAATGCCTCTGACTGGATCATTCCACGTATTGTACAAGTCTTGTATAAGCTCCTGTCTATGAGCCTGAGCACTAACCAAGCCAGCATACTTCGTAATCTCAGGCCAATCTTGAGAAGCAACTACCTACAACAGTAGAAACTCCTCTTCATTGATATGATCAATATAGTCCAGACTACCTAAACAATATAAAAATGAAATTACAGCTGCAATCGAAGGACTGGAATCCTCTCCATTCTCTGGGTGAGTCACATCAGCTCCAAAGATTATAGTCGGTATATCACTAACTAAAGGTATTCTCCAGCTGATTGCATCCATAAGAACAGTATTTCTCCCTCCCATCTGTAACAGGCAATGCACACATTATAGAATTAAAACAATTTAAAGAAAAAAAAATCTATACAAACTAAAAACAAGATTTTGAAGAATAAATTCATATTGAAGATCAAGTTGTACTCAAGTGGTAAAAAAATACCAAAAAAGAATAAGTCAGGCCAGTAAGAAAATGACTAGATGACACTGTCAACATCTACAACTAATGATGTGATGATCGTCGGAAGAATCAGACCTTCTTGAAAAATTTCTCAATCCAGGTATAAACAGAAAGCTTAAAAGCTTCAAGAAGAGATAATATTCATCAATGTCTCAACTCTTCTTATATCATACTATATATAATAATTAGGTAGAAAACTAGAGAAAACTTCTCAACTCTTCTTATATCATTCTAGATAACATATGTCTAGTAAACGATTTAAACTAAAATGCTCCGTATCAACTAAGTTGTCAGAATAATAAAAATGGTTTAAAACATCAATATTATGCTCCTTTACCTTGACATTAATTTTCAATGCAACATTTGCCAGATACTGCTTGCTTATCTTGAATACATGCTTTGTAAGACAGCATTGTGATATTAATCCCAATTCGGTCTCGCATATCCTCTTGAGATCACCTAGAGTTATATAACATCATTTGAAAAAGATAAAATACAAACAAACTGTAACATGTTAAAATGAATGAGAAACATCTTGTTGCATACCATACAAAGAACCATTATTGTCAGGTAAAATAGCTACAAGTAGCTCTAATTCCTTTCCTTTGGAAGCTGATGCATTACATACATATTTCAATGCTTTCTCAACTTGTTCAGGCCTTGCTGGGTAGACGGGTATTACAGGCTCGGGAATAAATTCCTGCAAAAGGACAGTAACAGTTCGAAAGTTGAGTGTAAGATTACATATAAAACATCTTATCAGTGGATAGAATTTCATATGGCAGTGAGAAGTATTTACCATGCCTGAAACTTGACACATTTTACCAAGCTCATTGCAAAATCCTCGAGCAACGGCCTCTTGAACACTTCGCGAGAAGTTAATACATGCCCATCTACTTACTGTGCTTCCATTTATCATTTTCTTTTATGATCAAATCCCGAAATTCACATTAAATAGCAATCAGAAAATAAATCTTATGATCTTACTTTTATCAATGTAAAAAGCATGAATATTAGGGTTCGTTTGGGACGGCTTTCTTATTGCTGCTTAAAGCGACTTTTTAGTACGAAAATTAATTTTTTTGTATTAGAGAGCTGTTTTAAGAAACAGTAAAAAAGTCGTCCCAAACAAAGCCTTACTGAAGAAAGGTGTGCAATTTGTTAGCAAGCTGTAATACCTTGTTCATCATGTTCCACTGACCAACATGCGGTAGACAGTCTTTCTCCTTGCCAGCCTCGTGATACTTCAGCTATAATCCATTTTGTAAAGAATTGGTGGAGAATATGAAGAATCATATAAATAATAAACATCTATTACACATAAAGTGTAGAAATACAAGTACAAAGAAGTACCCAAGGAGCAGGAAGAATTCGAGCCTCGATAGAAGCAAGCTTTTCGCTGATTTTTAAGCCGAATTCCTTTGCATATGGGTCTTGATTATAGGCATTATGTCGAACTGTCTGCATGTTTGTTGTCAGTTTTCTAATGAAACACTTTAGTTGAATATTAGAGAAACATTTCAGTTATTAAAATGAATTCTGCAATAAGAACCTGCAAGATATCGCTCTCCCGATCCCTTGGTCTTTGGCAAGTAACTTTCAGTAAAGCAGTGATTTGCTTTTCATTTAATCTTTTGGTATAGCGTTGACCACTCAATATCTTGCATGCCTTTAAGGCAAGGTTTAAAAACATTTACACACTGATAAATAAAAGTAAAAAATGTATCTCAGCAAGCCATCTGAATTTGTGCAATACCTCCATGGGCAAATAGTTAACCTTTTTTTGGTTTCCAACTTGAAGACAGGGAAGATGAGTATGTTGTATAGTGAATCCATATACCTCCAGGAAGTACTCCACAACTGATTTCATTGACTGGTCATCAATGGGAAACCTACCAAAGTGAACATAAGGAATTCAATTAAAGCATGACAACATCTTCCACATATCCTTATAGGACAAAGTTCAAGTAGAGATAGATTTGCTCAGTTTTGATCAAATGAATCCTAATTATGGCCAATAACCAGCTATTATAACAACAAAAGTTATCAAAATCAGCCTCATTTTCCAATAATGCACATTAAAAAAGTTTCCTCAAAATATTTAATTGTTTATCTTACATAAGCTCTCGTGTTGGTTGAGTGGTCAATCCAGAAATTCTGTACTTCCGTCGAACATTCCCTCGGTGAGTTACTTCGACCTTCACTCCTCTAAGGGCCTTTTTAATCTGAAATGTTTTTGGTAAAAAATTTTAAGAGAAATTAGCACAAAGACAAGGCAAAAGACCTCTATGCCTTCATCATAATCAAATGGAATCATTTATACTTTGACATGGTCTGCGTCAGTGAGTGGCCTTGACAAGACATCCTTACCAAGAAGTTGAGCAACAAACTCAATCACTGGAAGAGGCTCAATAAAAGCAGCAGAGGACATGTCTAGAAAAATAAGAAAACATTATCTACAAAGTACTAAAAATACTAATTTAATAGCATAAATAGATATAATAGATTCGCCAAAGTCATGTTTAACAAGAGAAGAAATACAATCCCACATACCTATATTAAGGGATAAACCCATTTGTGTAGGTCTTATACTTTGGTAAAATCCGCGCCATGATTCAAGACCATCACCAAGACGCTGTGGGGTCCTAATATCTGGAGAAAAGAAGGATTTCCCAACAGGGAAGTACCTTATAATGAAAATTTAGACAGAAGCTGGTTTAGAAAGTTAAAACTAATCCAACTAGATCAAAGTATAGAAATAAATAATAAAATACTGAAGTATTCTAAGATAAATACCTTTTACTTGAGAGTTCTCTTAAAACAATGTCAAGAACCTGAAAAGCTTCCTGTGGTGCCTCTGCACATTTGCCAACTAGAAATTGTTGCAGATGGTACATACTTGCCCTTGCAACAAATTTAATTTCCACCTTGTATTCTCTCTCCCTTCTGTATTATTAAAAAAATTCAAAAAAAAATCATAAAAGGTGTTGTTTAGTTCTGACATACTAACCAACTTAAGTTAGATTAAGCTTGATTTCTAAGCCAAACAAAGTTTTGGGAATTGTCTTAAGCCTACTTAAGCTTATTGTAACTAAGGCTGCAAGCGAACCAAGCGTTCGATGAGCTACTCGTTGTTCGGTTTGATTAAAGCTCATTTGTGATCGTTTAATTAACTAAATAAACAAACTTGAACAATATTTTAAATACTAGATTCTTAAAAAAACAAACTTGAACACTAATGTGTTCGACTCATTTATATTCGCGAACAACATCATTTGAAGCTCGTGAACAAGCTCGACATTAAGCTCGATTCGTGTTCAATTTTAAACTCGTGAATATGCTCGATGAAAATAATTAATATTTGATTATATAATTAATAAATATAAATAATATAAATATTTTATATTTATTATAATATAATGATATAATTATTGTTAAATAATAAAATTTAAAGTAAATAAATATTATATTATATGTTAATTAAATATTCTTATTAAATCTTAGTAAATGAATCCCAAGGACAAAAAGAGAGGCGGCAAACGCAGGCTACTTAGAATTTTCCTTGGTATTTTACTATTTTCCCTCCTTATGTTCCCGCTTGCCCTAATTTTTCTTCCCAAACTCGCGAACTGGCGAATTTAGAAAGACGGAACCTACTTCGCCGCTCTTTCTCCTCGCAAGGTTTTCTTTCTTCATTCTCCTAGACGCACTGTAGTAACGAATCTTCTCGTTTCTCTGCTCATCCTTCTCCCTGACAAGGCGACAACGTTGAAGCTTGTGTTTGCAAGATTAGCAACGACGATAATTTAAAGCTTCGAATATTACTTCCATTAGTTCTTGTCATTCTTTCTTGCATAGACAATTGCTTTTATTATAAATGTTTTTGTTCATACATATATTCATGAACATGTTTGTTTAATAGTTTAAAAAAATTCGTTAAATATGTTCGCGAACATGCTCGATGTAATCGTTTGTTAGCAAGCTCGATAAAGCTCGTTTGTTAAGTTAATGAACATCTAAAAGTAGAGCTCGTTTATAGCTCGTTCATGCTTGCTTATTTAAAACTCGATAAGCACTAAATGAATTGAACATTAACTGAACATGAACCGAACATGAACAATCATTAATTTAAATGAACCAAACATGAACACAAACAATAAAGCTCGAACAAACATGAACCAAACTTGAACAAGCTGATATTAAATGAACACTCACATACTCGGCTCGGCACGGTTAGTTTGCAACCCTAATTGTGACTCATGTTCACTTAAGGTGACAAGCGAGAAAAATCTAAGCACACATTCAACCCTACTTAATCTTAACCACATTATCGATTTCTCTAGACCCGTATTTTCCCTCCATGCATTCTCTTCACTTCTCTCTTATTCTATGATCTTTGTTTCACCTCTCCTATACTATTTCCTCTTCAAATTTCAATGTTACTTCTTGTCCTTGTCTAGGCTCCCATCCGCTTTTCTTCTCCTTTACAATCTCCAATTCTTCTTCCTCATTCAAGCATAGCTTTGGATGCATTCTTCCTCATCCTACAAGCCATTTCTCATGATGTCCTCCTTATCTTCACCCAGGGTTTGCTATGAGCTTCTCTCTTCTATCAATCTATGTGATTTACCACTAATGGGAAAGTGTTTTGAAATTTCTATCATAACCTATAATAAGTTAATCATATGATATAAGCCCAAATTAGGCCGAAGTTATGAAAAATATAACAAACAGTTCCCCAGCATATATGAGCTCATATTTTTAACCAACCGAAAGGCTAAACTCACCATAAAGCTAAAACTCCAAAAGTTTCCCACTTATCCTTGCTTGTCTTTAAATATCACTATGCAATGCAAACATAATATGAAAATTAAAGCAAAATAGATGATCATTTAACAATAAGCAATACTCAAGGAAATGGAGTAGACTATATATAAAGGTGTTTGTTCGGAGCGACACCTTATGAATGTAACATTGCTTCTGTTCACTTCATCATGTTCATTTCATTAGTTTAAATGCTTTTGATGCAGAGCATTTTAGCTTAAAAGGTTCCTTAAGATATCTTATGTAGTTTGTTACAAATTTGTTTCATGTTTTCTAGAATCATCTAGGTTTATCTAAGTTTCTCTACTTAAGTATTATATATAGTATAATGTAAGGAATGATGAGCATTTATGAATAATATATGAATTGAAGTCTTTGAGCTTGATTTGTTATCATATTCTTGAAAATTCTTCAAGCATTCTCTTCTTCCAACGATCCAACGATTTACTCTCCACATCAATTGGTGTCAGAGCCTAGAGCTTATGAAGAACGATGGACTGTAGAGGGTGGGCTATCGACGACTATCGAAGCCGAAGAAATTGGGTGGTCGACGAAGATTGACACCGAAGGAGATGGGTGGTCGATGACAATCGTCGTCTACAACCCACCTTCTGCAGTCCATCGTTCTTCGCAATTTCCGGGCTCTGATACCAATTGATGTGGGGAGTAAATCGTTGGAAGAAGAGGATTTTGAAGGATTTCCAAAAACAAGATAACAAACCAAGCTCAAAGGCATCAATTCATATAATATTCATCAATGCTCCTCCTTCCTTACATCATACTATATATAATACTTAAGTAGAGAAACCCAGATTAACTTAGAGAAACCTAGAAGATTCCAAAAACATGAAACAAACTTGTAACAAACTATGTAAGATATTCTAAGGAACCTTTTAAGCTAAAATGCTCTACATCAGCTTGTTATCCAAATCATATTGGAAACCTATTTTACACAAAATGAAAATCTTGATTTTGATACAAAGGAAAAAACTTGCCTCGGTCCACTGGTTCCATCATGTTCATCCAGAAGTTTGATGTTGAACTCTTTGTAAGAGAAGGGGAGCTCCCCTGCTGTGTAAAGACTCCTCCTTCCATCATAAGCAGGCAACCTCATTCCTAGCTCAGACTCCCTGTAAAGCTTCACAAGTTCTACAATAACACTTCTGTTGACATTCTTTGATGCTACTTCAGGTGTTATCTTCACCTATAGCAGGGTTTAGAATTAACAATATGTATGGAATGGAAGCAAAGAAAAATGCAGGATACAAAGTAACAGGGCTCTCCATTTTATTCGATGAAAATAACAGACTAAAAACACTCAAGCATTCCGATCAACTAATCTAGAAAAAAAATACCACTTTTCCTTTTATAAATACTTCTTTTGTAAAAGTTCCCAGAGGAAAATAAGACTACTAAATAGCTTGGAAATGAAAAAGATAATCTCAAAATACAAAAGCCAAGCATATAAATTATCAAAGGAAAAATAAAGAAAGATTGTAAATTTCTTACATCATAGTGGAATAAATCATTGTTTGGAAGCTCCGTGAAGAAATGATTAGCCTTGATAATTACTCGAGTTCCTGACTGCCCAAATCCAGGCCTGGTAGGAAATCTCAGAGATTTGCTTGAAGAAGGAACGCCCATCTCGGAATAACATAAAGGACCTTCATTCTCCAGGCACCCGTTATGAATCCGACAACCATTAGTCTTCGGTGGCCTCAAAAAGGAGATCTCATCGCACCGCCCGTTCTTCTTGGCTCCTCTACTTCTTCTCCTGCCTCTGCTCATTGCAGAAGGTGAGTTCATGCTTTGCATTTCTGAAACTTGCCGTTCTTGGGACGGAGGCCCTTTGCCATTATGTTGAGCTTTGGGAGCTTTATGAACTGGATTCACATGACTGTTCACTTGAGATTTTATCACAAGGTGCTGCTCAGAACCTTCCTTCATTTGCCTAATAGGCATGGTTGCAAGTTGCGAAGAACTTCGGAAGAAGTAAACACTATAGTTTTTTCAAGAACGAACTAGTATTTCACTTAACTGCTTCTCTTTCTGCTGGAAAAACAAGAGGAGGCATTAGAGTTGAGAAATATGTGTACGCCATTAATGCATCTTCCAAAGTAAAAGCAGGATAAAAGATCTTTTTAATTGTTTCTTTACAAACAAAGAGAATGTTTTCAGAGGGAAGGGATGAGTAACACTAAAGTTGCTAACTTGCTGTAAAGTTCAAACTCAACAAGAACAAAAGAGGGGAAGGCATACAAATTTGTACATGGAACACAAGTAAACCTTCCAATTTGAATTTTTTTTTTTTCCTTTGCAGCTAAAATACTCCAAGTCTCGAACCAATGAAGAAGAAAATACAGCCTATTCAGAAAGGAGAAAAAAAAAGGGCTTCATTTCCACCAAGAAGAGCATAGCTTACCAGCAAATGAGAAGTACAAACCCATAAAAAAAGTTTCAAATTTGTCAAACACAGAAGAACTTCATGCAAGCGCAATGACAGAAGTTAAGACAGTCTTGTCCATGAACAGGAATTCAAAACCCAGGAAATCAACAAACTTGAACAATTACAACACTCCAAAACAAAACTCGCCATCAATAAAAACAATGGAAGTCGCATTTACTCCAAAGCCAAAGCTTGCAGCAAAAATCCAGCAGCGGAGACGCTAAAACCAGGAAAGAACAAACGCAAGCAACTAAAAAACAGAGCTTTCATGTCTCACCAAAAACAAACAAATGAAAACAAAACAATGGCAAGAAAAAATATAAAGTCGAAGATGGAAAAAAGCAAAGATAACCCAAGTACCAAAAAAATACGATTCACCCAGCCGAAGAGCCCTCCTGATGCACCAAAGGGTGAAATTTATACAGCCTTCAAGCCATCTATATCGACCAGTACAACCATCGGCTTTAATCATAGAAGAAAAGACCCTTCTCACAGGAACTCCTCTCTTTAAAGCTAGCTAGAAAAGATCAAGAGCTTAGAGGTGAAGAACAAGAAAGAGAGAGAGAGAACGAGTGATGAAACCTATACACGCATGCAATGGCTTTTGATGGGCTTTCTTTTATCACGTGGAAAAGGAAAAGCGGGATTGGTTCAAATAAAAGAGTGGCCTTTCTCTTTTATTTAAAATTTTCTTCCTTTTCCTTCTGTTTATTCAAAAGTGGCAACACATACTGAGATATAGGTGCTGGCTGATGGGGCTCTGCATTCTGCCGCTTTGACAGCTGCAGCAGCAACAGCGCATAGGAGAGGGAAGAGGCGCTTTGGAACTTTATAGAGCAACAATATCCCATACTTGATTATAAACTCCAAAATAATAAATCAAGTTTGAACAAAATAGTGTGTGGAGATAGAAAGAGAGGGACAGAGAAAGAAGGAAAAGAAGCCATAAGAAATTAAATACAAAAATCCATAGAAGAAGAATAATTGGAAACTCAGTCCTATAGAGAGGCAGAGATCTCAATGCCTTCTCCCCCATATCTCTTCTCTAAAGAAATGACCTATGAGCGTACCTAAACTGAAGCCATATTGTACTGTCTATGAACTGGGAATATTATTAGTTTTAGGATTATCGCATTGAAGGCTTCTGCAACATAGATATCATGGATGGGTCCTTTATGGTAGGTGAAATTTGTGATCCTGAGGCTTTAATATTTTGGTTTAATTCTGTTCCGTTTAGATTTTTTTTTTTAATTATTAATGTAAAAACATAATTAAAAATCATCATTTTTAAAAATTGTTTTTTTAATCTATAATCATGTAAATTGTCACATTAAATAGCTATATCTTTATATAAAATAAGATATTTTTTTAATAAAATACAGTAAAGCACTCTGTTGAGATGATAGTACTTCATACTTTTTTTATTGCAAATTATGATCGGTTGGCTCCATGTGTACTTCAAGGATGCTTAGGATAAATATTTTTTATTGTAATAATAGAGCATCATGAACTATCATTGCCCCCAAGTGAATATGCAATGGTGATCAGTAATTGAGAGCCTTTGTAGCTAAAAGTTTAAATTTATAAAAATAAAATGCATTCTCTTCTTTTATTTTACGACCCTAACAGAATAAAAATAAAAGAAAAAAAATAGTAAAACATCATTTTAATTATTTTTTAATAAGATTCAAATTATTCAAATCATCTATTGACTAATCATTTTAGATTATTTAGATTTCGTTTGGGACGGCTTTGGTACTGCTTCTTAAACCAACTTTTTAGTACAAAAAATTTAATTTTTTACTCAAAAAATGCTTTAAAAAATAGTAAGAAAACAGCCCCAAACGAAGTCATAATATGCCAAAACACCTAAAATAATCTCATTGCATACTTATAATATATGACAGACATGCAAAGCAAAATATAATAAATTGTATTATATGTGCGCCCTTTTCATAATTTTGCATATATATTATTTTGTTTATCACTAAGAACATACAAATTTTATTTTGAATGATATTTGGTTGAACAAAGCCTCGGGCAATTAGGGTTTACCAAAATGATAGGGAGGACTTACAGTTAAGATTTTGTTTTGGACAATTTTCCTACCTTTTTCTAAAGTAGTTTTATAGTAAAAATATTTCTAGTTTAAAACATTTTTATAATAAAAACATTTTTAGAAAGCATTAAAAAAGCGGTCTCAACTAAAGCCTAAGTTGAAATTTTCAAAAAATTATAAAAAATATTTAAAATTTTTAACTAATTAAAAAACTAACCTTTGTATTGATCTTAAATAATATATCGACGGAAGTATCGACTTCCCGGCGAAAATTTACAGTGCGGTATTTCCGACAGATAATCCGCCGGACTCTTCCGCCTACATGTATCCAACGTATTATTCCGGCAAATAATCCACTAGAAATACTGGTGGTACATTTCCACCAAAAATTCTAACGGATAATCCGCTAGAACTAATGACTAAAAAATGATGCAACATGCTTCTATTTTCCATTGGCATCCCGCTAGTAAGCCTGCCGGAAAAATGTTTCCAACACGCATTTTACTGTCAAATGAGTTTCCACCGGAAACTTATATTTTCCGGCGGAGTTTTGTGGTTATCGGTGGATTTTGGCCGCTGGTAACACACGATTTTTTTGTAGTGCCTAATTAATGCATCAATCAAATTTCCAATCAAATCAAATTAATTTAAAAAAATAATATATTCCCTAATCATTTACAATAATGAGCCATTACAAGCATTCCAAATAAAAACTTATTTCAATTTGAAAATAATTTAAAATCAACACTCATACCTCTCCCTGCCACTCTCAAGTCCAACAATTAGTCTCTAATTTTCTATCTAAAAGCTCATCTTCTGTCAATAGATGAGTGGTTATCTCTCAATTTGAAACATGTCCTATGATCTCTAACACACCTATTCTTGAGATGCTAATCATTAAATGCACCCCTCATTCTAAGGAGTTTTCATTTTGTACGGAGATCGGACGAGAGAACCGTTCGGTTAAGCACTGGGTACCCAGCGGTACCGAGTGCTGGTACCGAGCTGGGTACCCACCAATAAAATGACGTGGTGCATTTTATTGATCTTCGGATGCCCTCCGCACAGAATAATTCTTCCATTCTAAGACAAGAAAATCTAATATCGACATGCCAGCACAATATCCCAAGTCAACGCCACCTCTACTCAATTGCTTATAAGCATCCCATTTCCTCTTTTAGGAGTGAACTTTTGAACCTTTTGACTTATTGAGAGTTACACTCTTTTATAAGCAGTAGAGACTAACCAAGTAAGGTGGAACCAGGAAGCGCTTAGAATGGGCAATTGTCCATCCCAAAATTTTTTTTTCTTAATTAGAAGTATAAATATTTTAACTATTTAGCTCATATTCAATAAATACATTTGTCCAAATTCTAAAAAAAAATTATTTCATACATAAAATTTTACATTTCACAATTCTATTTTGTCCACTCTCAAAGGTCAAAAGAGAGGCTGATTCGGCTCCAAAACACAGAATTTATTCCTTTTTTCATCTTCTTCCTCTTGAAATATAACATAACTCTTCTCGTCTCCTTATGCCGGACATAAACATATTTTTTCTTCTTTTTTAACATCATCTCTTTGCATTCTGAACTGTATCATCCAGCAACAAAGTAGTTTGATTTGGATGTCAACCCACCATCTTTTCTTCTCTTTTTTTATGAACCAAAGGAACTCTTATTCAATCACCAACATTCACAAGACAACTTTCTCTCATTCATAGATTTTTATTTCTTTTTTTTTTCTCTCTCTCTCTTTTAAAGCCCAATCTAACCTTAAGTTTACTCTAAATTAAGCACTTATCATTGCAGCTAAAAAAAGAAAAAGAAAGGTTTGAAAAAAATCATAAAACATCATACAACCTTTATGAAAAGCCATAAAACATCAAAATTCTAAAGTTAAACATACAGTGACAGTTCAGTACAACAAACTAAGCAGCTCAAGATTGATATCATAATATAAAAGCTATTTACATTATTGAAAAGCTCAACATTTGCATTATCAGCCCATACAACTTAAATAATTTCACTACAACCCTAAATAATATATCATTGTTTGCATGATAAAGCTAATAATGACCAATCTGCAAATTGTTCTTTAATATCTTAATACTCGATCTCTAGCAATTAATTTGAATGACTCAAAACAGGTGAAATAAGAAATGATTGCCTTCCATGTTGTTTCAATAATGCTGGCTCAGATTCATACAGTAAGATTCAGAAATCTATGAATCAATGAAACTTTTGACCCTTTACAAGCTCATGATTGCAAGGAAATAGTAATATCTTATGGATTATAAGTACTATGATCTTTGCAGCTTTAGAACTTTATTTGTTTTTGTGGGGTTTGATGAGCCCAAAGGTTCATTATTCTTCCTAAGAACTTTTGGTTCTAAATTTTAATTAAATCTTAGTCTTCATGTTGATTTTCTTCACATCTGTCCTCTGTCAATCGATTAGTTCGCAAAACAAGGATTATAACAAAAAGATTAATTGCTTTATTTACATGAAGAAGATTTGCAAGAGTACAGAGCTGCTTTGGAGCTTCTTAACCTTTGCAAAAAAGATTAAATTATTAAATTATTACATTGATACATTTATTTAATTATCTATTATTTTTTAATATTAATCTTTCTTATAATTTCTTGTGATATATGAAAAATATTTTCAATAGTAAATAGTAATTCATATAAAAATAAACAATTTAAAAATCAGCTGCATGTAAGTAGATATAAAATAATTCTTAAAGAATGAATAATGATATTAATTATCATTATTTGAATAAATTAAAAATTTATTTCAGCTGCAAAATGTTTTATGTTTTGATAGAAAAATTGGCAAAAAATATAAATTATAAACTCATTTGCAAATTAGTAATTTTTTAATAAATTAGAGTAAATACAAATAAAATAGAAAAAATATCTAATGTTAAAATAAAAATCAGTTGAAAGTTAGAAAAATGAGGTTTTTTTTTTTAATATTATTAAAATTAATGTTTTTATTAAAATCTAAGTATAATTAATCAATATTATGTTTTATTCATCTATTTGTATCTCTAACATTTATATGGAAATAAATTGTATTAGGATATATTATAATCAAAATTTTATCATGATCAATTAAAATTGTTATCATCTTGATACATCATAAAAAAATTATCTTGATCGGGCACGAATTTCGAGGCAAAATCAAGCCGAAAATTTCAAAAATTAAATTCGGGATCATCTGAACTCCGATTTCAGCAAACTTATAGTCGAATTGAGCATATCAAAAAATACGAACCCTACAACACAAAATTGGACTCAATCTGATTCCAAATGAGTCCAAATCGATGACCCAAAGCGATGTTGGAAGGTTCGAACCACAATTTGGGTTACCAAACGGTTTCCAAACATAACGTGCTTAAACAGTCGAATCGAGCGGCTCGACGAAAAGAATCCAACGAGCCCAAGATCGCCAAATTCTGACATCCTTAAGACTTTCAAATGTCTGATAAACGGTCCACGATCAAAGGATTCAATATCAGTTGTCCATCTGAACCACTCCACCTTTACCCTTGATCCTCCTTCTATTTAATTTACGGGTCATGCCATCCTAAAAAAACTATAAATAGCCCCTCATTTCTTTGAGAGGGGACCGAAGCAAGAAGAAGAGAAGAGAAGAATAAGAGAAGAAGAAGAAAAGGATATGAGGGAAGAAACTCCTCTTCGACCACCGCCGGAATTCTGTCCGACTCCCAAGTGACATCGGAGTTCTTCATGATGCCTCGGAATTCTACCCTACGTAGGAATTCTGCCGAAACGACACCAGAATTCTGCCCAAGCGTCGCCGGAATTTTGCCTGATGTTCAAGTGACGCCGAAACTCTGCCCGATTTCCAAGTGACACTGAAATTCTAAGTGACTCTGAATTCAACTCGAATACAACAACTTGTGTGTAACTAGACTTCAATCCGGAAGTAAATCATTGTAATATGATCGTCCTAAATTTTAAGGACGAGTCAG